ATGCACTAGAGCATAAAATCTTATTTTATGCACTAGAGCATAAAATCCTATTTTATGCAGCCTACACCCAGCTTAACACGAATTTTAAGAGCACGAGAAGTGAAAAGTATTTTTTTAATCACACACTTGCTCATAAATGTTATGATTGCGTGATGCCTAATTTGACTGTAATGCCCCAAATGAAATCCACGGGCCTTTTTTTCCATTACATCCATGGTCGATAAGGACTTTTTTCATTTGTAACACGACATAATTCCCGTCCTTAATACACGATGAAAACTCCTTGAGTTCCACATAACTGAAAATTATACATAGGTTATATCAGTTATGCGATCAACATGACCATAAAGTGCGAAGGAGCGCAAACTCCTACTGTTCCTCTTAGACAGGACCCTCCATGCTTGGTTATGAAAATTGATAATGTTTGTTCTCCAATTGTCTGAAAGTTTAATCCTATATATCGATAACTATGTACTATGGCGGCCTTTCTCAAATATGGCGGTGTATCTGCTACGCAAAGTTAATGAATACTCTTATTATACCCAACGAAAACTTGGGAGTCTAATTCACAACAAAATTTTGCTTTTTCTGAATAAGTGTCAGTAAAAAAAGATCAATTTCAGGTTAAACCGCTATTCTTGAGAAGCAGCGATATGCAGGTAAGCATTTTGTTTCTACTTTAAGTGAATCTCCTTCTGTCACATGATGATACCTTCAAGTATTTTAATTCACATAATCATTTGATATTGGTGTGCATTGATATGTAATAATATACCCAAATAAGAACTGGTAATTATTTTACAAGTAACTAGGTATTAATAATCCCTATTATATTTAATTTCATTTACAACTTGCGTCAATAAATGAAGTGATAAGTGCATATTTCACATTAAAAAAAAAGTTGTGTGTATGGTGTTGGATTTATTAATCCAAACGGAATACATTGCTCTTATGTATCCCAAACAATAGTTACAGGTATTATTTAAGTGGTAAGGTGGTCTAGTGGAATTTTGTAATATTTCAAACACAATTAACAACACTAAAGTGGTTCGAAAGTAGTATAAATAAATACGTTTACCATAAGTAACTTACACTTACTACCTACTTATAAGTTCACGCAAGCTGGCCTAGTGCTTGATCATTAAATTGACATTGTAATAAAATGCATTACTATTGTAATGTGAATGTAAATATGAGGTTGTATTACTTGATAGAGAAATATCTTTTGTCGTTGACAATCGATGATAATAATATTGTTTATTAGGTTGCTGTATTCACCTGACCAGGGTACATGTTAGGTACCAAAACAATTTTGAATGTACGTCATAATCCGCAATAAATGACACTGTACTTATAGTTGGCCATTATAGAAATAACAAAGTTGTTTTGCAGTTTTGTATAGCAAGCAATATGCAATACATTGGATCGCGATCACGATTTGCATTACATTGCAAGGCGCATTAAGTTGCGAGGCGCATTAAATTGTGACTCGCATTAAGTTGCGAGGCGCATTAATTGTGAGTTTTTGGCCGTGGGGCGACGGCTTAAGAATACATTGTCGCCTCCCCATACATGCCCGTGGGGGTCGTAAGAGGCGACCGAGGGCGTCACAAGTGTCCATCTGCTTAGCATTGTGGTAGGCTCTGTGCCGACTGGATAGCGACCACAGTACACACGGCGGAAAACCCTCCACAGTGAAACGCTTTTGCGAATCGCGTTCAGGGATCAGTTGGTGTACATCCAGTGCATTTGGCCAGACCGGCAAAATGATAGTGACGGAGTGAAGATATTTGTGTTTTCCATCCGTTACTCTCATCTCTGGACTGTATTCGCACTTTCCATCAGGCGCGGTGCAGTCATTTTGTCGAGTCGCAATAAAAAAAAAAAAAAAAAAAAAAAAGGCACATTAAATTAATAAAAAATGCATCATTTTGATACATCATGCAAAATGCATGGTTTAACAAGTATACATTATTGTACTAATTTACTTTATTTCGCAGCTACCTTCTTTTAAATTACTTTATATTGAAGGACAAATACAGCAAACAACTTCTAAAGTACAATTATTCTATAATTTTATTATTATTATAATACAGATTCAGGCATTATTTTCAGAAAATCCAAATGAATAAAAATAAAGTAAATTAATTTGCTACTCCGCGAATGCGGTGAAGGTTAAATCGATGATTCATTATGGCCACGCTCACTAATTAGATGGCTACACAAATTAAAACGAAATAATGTTGTTTTTATGACCACACAATATTAGTGACACAAATGACGATGCGAATTAAAAACATGTAATGTCGATTTATGGCTACACAATGTTACTGAAACAAATGACCACGCCAATTTAAAACATATAATGTTGTTTTATGCCACGCAACTTTACTAAAACAGATGGCCACGCACATTGAAAATATATAATGTTGTTTGCCACGCAAATGATTTAAGAAAAGGTCACAAAGCAGTAAGAATACGGCTAGGTAGCTGCTTACTGTTACTTAGTGCTTACTAGTAAAAGGCCACCCACAATAATACATTACAAGGCTACGCAGTACTGTTACTGTTACACAATGATGTAAAAAGCCACGCACAATAATATATAAGTCACATATTTGAAATTACGATTTTGTGCTTATGCAATTGGAATAATGTCGATTCTAATATTTGATATCGATAAGAAGAAGTAAATATCAAATGTTTTATCAGCTTTAATGGCAATGAGGCTCTTTCCATAAGAAAAGCAAAAAATATTACAGATAGCGGTGATACTCTACCATTGTTAAATTGTATTGATAAATATTATTCCATTATCAAATGGGCCCTGTTCTGCATAAATGAGTTAACCCACAAAATGACAGTTTCGAGATATTGAGCATTAAAGATTTTTGGAAACTACATATTTGTCATAACTCATTTAATTAATGAAGTTTACAGTACAATTATACATCAAAAGATTTGTAATGAAGTAAGCATTACGATCAGTTTATTATTTTTTAAAGTTAACAAATTTATGATTAGTAATTAAATGAAAATGGTTTATGCAAAATTCGATATATGAACAAAATTATTACTTTATGTGTCAAGTCTGGTTTACACATTTTTGCTAAATACGGAAAAGTACGTATAAAGCGTCACTAAATCCTTGCAAACACTGAGAAATCACATTTTCATAGTAATCATGTATTAAACCAAGTAACAGTAGTTTTTGTTAGTCAACGTGTTTTGTTTTCAATAATCAATAGCCCTTCTTCTTTGACCAGTAACAATCGGGGGTGCACAATAGGAGCCTCCCCGCACTACGTCACATTCCTTTACTTTTACGAGATTTGATCGAGACATGTGCGTCGAGGGTCTACCTCTTCCCACGTTTAAATCTACTAACATCCATCCTTTCTACTTGACCACATAATCTTTCACTACACGACGCTCTCTTATTACTTGTTCGTCCGCCACAGTGGCGCACTGTAGCGGTTCTATAAACGTCTAATTTGAAGATGCACTAACAGAGCACATACTACTCAAAGCTCTTATACATTTCATGCTTCTTCTGTCACATCCAATACTCGCTAAGGTACATCAGGGTTGGATCCCGCACTTTTTTGACACTTTTTGGCTACCCATAAAGGCATACAGAGCTTCATTCACCTGATTTCGACTATTACTTTCCGTTCAATATCATCACACTAACATCTCTTATTAATATAGCCGCGGGCGCGGTGCTGGTGATCTTCTTGTGTATCTCACGCACTAATGAGCAGCTGCCATCGAGAGCAAGGGGGAAACAATGGCCGTGAGCTTAGACATCGCTAAGGCTTTTGATCGGGTCTAGCACAACGCATTTCTATCGAAGCTACCATATTACGGGCTTCCAAAAGCATCTCTTGGCAGGAGCTCCCAAATACCAGATGTATCCACTTGACTCGATCCAACGTAGGGCTGTTCGTATTGTCGATAGTCACAAACTCGTAGACGGTATGGAGCCCCTTAGCCGATGGAGAGACGTAGGCTCTCTGTGCGTGTTTTACTGTCTTTACAATGGAAAGTGCTCTGAGGAACTTTTCGAACTGGTGCCACCGTCTTGTTTCCATCACCACATGGACATGGACTCTACAGTCCATCCCCACATCTTAGATGCCTGGCATTTCGTTCGTTCCTTCCTCGAACCTGCAAAGTGTGGAATGATCTTCCTCCTGAAGTATTTCCTTTGCGCTGTGACATAGGGTTCTTCAAAAAGCGTGTTTACAGGGCTCAAAGGGTCTCAGGGCTGCAAAGGCTGGCACCGCTACCAGTCTTGTCCCCATTTTCCCACTTTTATCCCTTTCAATTACCATCACCTTCGTCTTACTCACA